CTTTGGCACAGTCCGCCTTCAAGGACCAGTCAACTCGAGTATGTATCACTTGATAATTGTTTTTGTACTCTGCCTATTCATTTAATGGGTTTAACGTATGCTCCTTCGTTAGGAGGAGGCGGGAGAGCGGGCTAAATCCTTTTGACGTACCCATTGAAAGAGGAGGCCTGCAGTCCTGCTAGCTGTTGCAAGGTGAACGGGCCCCTCGAGCTGAAGTCATCCTTGGAAGTTGCAACGCGACTGGTACCTGCAAAGTCGGGGCCCCAGTGTATGCCAAACAGTAATCACATAAAGTGTTGTGGAGTTCCCAGTCGCTCACTCTTTTGAAGGAGATTCTTGATGTGACGCTCTGAAAGCACGAAGCAAACTGTCAGAGAGCTCGTCTCTGCAGGCTGCTAGACGTTTTGCTCCGGAACTTCAACGTTGAAAGCCTGGCGCAGGCATATGCTGCATGCAGAGGGATGTTTTAGGTGACCAGGCTTGTTGCGAACTTGACAATGGCAAGCGTGCGCAGTAGGATCTCCAAATGCACCTGTTGATGCAGCTTGAGGGGTGTGTGTGATTTGCAAAGTGCATCTGATTTGTAGTTATGAGGCTTGCAGAGCCATGGGGGCAAAAGTGTTTGCCAGGAGTTGGTCAGTGCCTTTCTGTCAGATCCCAATGTTGTGAAGGCCGGTGATTTATGTAAAAAGGGGCTTGGATGCTTCTAAGGGTGACTAGGGGTGACAGACTCCAGGGATTGAGGGTTTTGAGTTGTGCTTGAGGTCGATTTTTCGGAGGCTCCTGGTGCATGTTTATGCAGACTACGGGACTAGAGGCTAGTTTTCAGAGCAGTTTCGACGTTCTTCTGAGATTACGACAAGAATTGCTTGCCGCTATTGCCTTAGCTTTTGAGAGACCAATGTGCAGTTTGTGACGGCCTTGCCCACTTGCTTGTCGCTTCCAGTGCTACATGCCGGGAGCATAGATGGACGGCACAGCTTTTCCGCTTGTTGTAGGTAACAGGGCGAAGCAGGAGAAGGATGGCAGTTGTGGCAAGGTGCTGCAGATTTCAGTCAAGTGAATTTACATATGGTCTTGTTTGGCGAACGCTTCGAAAATCGGCGTTGCAGCAGGCCTCCTGATATTCCTGCTCCGATTCTGTAACTGTAAGATAGGGATGGGATCGATGAGGTTAAGGAGGACGCCGGCACCAGAGTCATTTTTTGTACGATTCTTTGTACAATCCTGAAACATGAGAACCTAGGCAAGCCAACAAAGCCATGTTGCGCCACCCTGCTAGTGAAGGCTTTGCAAGACGGTCGAAGGAGTTTGATCGAGACCTTGCACGAATACAGAAACTCAGCTGTATTTGGAGAGGGCCGTCTTGGTGTTGGGATCCGGCTTTGCACCGTCAGGATTCGTGATCAGCGATCAGCTGAAGTCCCTCCTGAAGACAAAGGCCAACAATTGGAACTTGATTGCTGAGCATGGACGTCAAAGACCCAGGGGTGTAGTTTAGGGTTGCGAGATCCGCTTTGCCCGAGTTCCTTGCCAGGCTTTGTGGGGAGCACTGTTACAGTATATTACAGTGATTTCCAAAGGGCATGAGGTACGATTTATAGAGCTTAAAAAGAGAATGCAAGAACTGACTGAGTCGTTGGTATGCTTTCGGGTGCCAGGTAGATCTTGAGACGCTGCGGCCGGTCCTTCTGGAGGAAGCAAGGACCGATGAGGGGAATATTGTGGTGGAAGATTCTCGGCATGGCTGCGGCCCCGTAACGAAGGAGTTTGAACGCTTGATAGCTTTTTTGCCGCGGACCGGTTGGGTCCCAGGTTTTTTTTTCCTAG